ATAATTCCTAGTTAGACTAATAATATTTAGTGACATTAGCCGTAAATTTACATTTATTGCAGTATTTGATTATATATTTATGCTATGATTAAGAATTTTTAAGCGTATATTTTTATTTTTATAAATTGTAATGGATAAAAAACGTGCTGTAAAATTATTATATTATGTATGAGATTAGTTCGATTATTAATATAAATAAAGATCTAGTCTAATATTATTAATCCCGATGGCCAATGGAGACGACCGATTATGATAATTGTGTGACACCAAATCTTATTAATACATGTATTTATTGTTCATTGAATCCGTTAATTTATACTAACATAAACAAGCAAAGAATAAACGACAACAACAATAACAACAAAGACAATTTTATTCGCTTTGCATTATTGTAATGTAATTAATAAAATCATTAAAAAGTGCATTGTATTTTTAAGTACTGGGAATAGAAATAATTTTTTATAATTTTAATCATTAGGGAATGCAGCAGAGATTGATTAAAACGATAATTGAGCGTACGGCAAAAAGAAGTTAATACCAAAAGTGTAAAAGAATTAGAAATAAAGTTTTTTGATGAATGCATAATACCATTACTTCACTTGTTTAGTCGTTAATTATTTATTATTTTATTTTTTTTTTCATATTCCTTTGTGTTTATTTGATTCTTATTATTATTTATTATCGCATATTATTATTGCATTGTGATTAATAGTTTGCTACTTTTGTCTTTTGTTTCTTACAAGGGTGTGGCAATGTTGTAAGCAAGTAAAATTATTGACAAAGCAAATTTTATTAATTAATGTAGCTGCTAAATTTTTGACATGATGTAGCCGTTGATATTGACGAAGCTAGTTAATCAGTTATCAGTAATCGTTTTACAAATGCCCAATCAACATGGTAAATTACATTCGTTGATAAGTCTAGTCAGAAATATTACATTTCGAAACTCCAATCGCAGCTTCTAGCCCACTAACAATTCTTAGTAAAACAAATATCAACGCTAGTGAGAGCCATCGGGACGGCAATTACATGCCCGAAATTTAAAAGGACATCTACTAAATCGCACACGATCGTCCCGACTAATTATTCGATTGGTGGCTTTGCAGATGATCGCCTTGACGACAGCCAGAAGTTGCGGCGTAATATCTACAGCTTCTGCAAGAGTTACTTCTGCCCGCGCTGCAACCACGGCTACACGGAGAAGGCGAACATGGTGCGTCACTTCCGGCACGAATGCGGCGTACCACCCAAGTACCGGTGCCCTTACTGCGAGTACCTCTCGCGGTACACTCACAACATCTACGCCCACGTGAGGAGGCATCATCCCCAGCAAAAGTCCTACTTCATCAAGCTGCGTTGAAGACGTCTTTGCGCGCAATTAATGTCGCTTAATCATTCATTTTATAATCGATCGAAATTTTCGATTTAATTGAAAGAGGATGCTCAGCTTTTCGGATGAGAAAACTCAAATTTTACTTTCAAAGTAACTCTCTCTCTCTCTCTCTCTCTCTCTCTATCGTCTATTTTATTCTAATTTTAGAATATATATATATATATATATATATATATATATATATATAGATTAATATGCATGATTTAATATGATTTAATTGTTAATTAATTGTGCTATTTAGTTTATTAATTTTTATCTCCTATGTACATCGATCTATACAAATGTATGTATTGATGCTTGACTTGTAATTTCGTAGTTTAATGTTCCTGAGCCAACATCATTTTTGGATGTCACATTTATTTATTTGTCTTTTGTTATTCGTTAACGGATTGACTTTTATTCGATGACGATTGCCATAATTTATTCGTGCCTTTCTCATTTTATTAACATTGTTATTGCTGATATATGATAAAGTTTTTCATGCCATTTACTATAATGATTATTTAATATAGAAGCCATTTATCCGAAAGCTTTATTTGAAAATACATTAATGTATAAATTGTTATTCATTTTGACATGAGATTAATACTTTTACCGATTTGGTAGAGAAAAAAACAAAAAAACAAAAAAACAAAAAAACAAAAAAAACAAAAAAAAACAAAAAAAACAATGTGTGATTTATTTTTTAATGTTTTTATGCGATTACAAATGAACTATTATATCCTTGTGCAATTAGTATTTTATATATTTCATTACATTACACTTTATGAATAGTTCCTTAAACAAAGATCAAATCGCTCTGCATATTATATTTTATCAATGATTTGCTATTTCTCTTTGAAGATTTAAAAAGCGGAATAGCTATTTTTATACGTTCTTTAACGACATATTAATAGAGAATGTTAAATAGCGATGCTCTAATAGATTGTAAAATATAGTCTTACTCGACTCAGCTTAAGCTTTCCCAAATAAACCGAAGACTGTTTATTGTCAAATAAGTATTTTCCTATGTAATTAATTTGAATTTTGTACCGAATCACAAAGTACTGCGCCATATACTCATTAATGCTCGATTAAAATTTACAAATGTTTTCTAAATTATGATCTATAATTTAGAATAAATTTAGAAAAGAAAATCTCTTAATCCCGGTATTATATTTTTTACGTAGGTAACCAATGATGTATAATTTATCCATGATAATCAACAATTATCATTACCAATGTAAAGACATTATAAATAAATGCATTTGCCAATATTATATTCACGTGCTACTCCTTTCAAGCAGTCTAATGTGACGAGAAAAGAAAAAAAGAAAAAGAAAAAAATGTTTAAACAAAACAATAGGCCAGGACAAGAGACCGGTTTGTCGCCCATCGTCACCATTCGCGCGTAAATCCGGTCTCTCGCTCGTGATCTACAACAGCGTCGATCCAATGGCTCGTTGTCGGGGCCGTTGCCGTTGCCGTTGCCGTTGCCGTTGCCGTTGCCGTTGTTGTTGTTGTTGTTGCCGCCACGGACACCGCCACCGTCGATAAAACGAAAAATCTACTCTTCATTTGCGCCTACGTGTGTCCTAGTCGCACTGACCTTGGGCCATTTGTTTTTCAGATTACCGGAAGGTGATATTCAATTACGGCTACTACTACTGTCCGCGCTGCAACCATCGATATACCAACAAGGCAAACATGTTCAAGCACTTCCGGCACGTTTGCGGCAGGCCGGCAATATATAAGTGTCCTTATTGCACGTACGTATCGCGATACACCCACAATGTGTACGCCCACGTGAAGCGACTGCATCCCCAGGAGACGCCATCCTTCATTATGAACGACCGGACGCACTAGTGAATGACCTGAAGGGGTAAGTCGCGGCCCCGGAGCATCTGTCCCTCGATCTTTTTGGACAAGAGTTTTGGCAGAATTACATAGCCGCGGCGGGGATGATTATTCTGCTGAGTCGAAATGCTTTGCACGCGTTTCTTTTCTGCGAGGAGGATAAAGAGAATTTCTGTTTACAGTGGAGACTCAGCATCTTCGATATAAATTTTGGAATGTTAAAGTCTCTTATTCTATAGCCATACGAGTGTGAGCAATTGGTTATAGTATAAGTTTTGTGGCGATACGTTGAGCCCGAGACTTTATGAATTGTATGTTTAGTCTTGAGAAGTAAAGAAAGTATTATGATTAAATAAATTCTCATATCAATATTCAGTGGCTAAATTATTCCGAAGGCAAAATATTCGTCGTACTTGTGCCGTAAAGATACATTAATTTGCTGGTTACATGAATTTTTAATCAAAGATCGTTGTTACGTATTAAATTAAACAAAAATTCCTTCCATGTTAATACGAAGATTATCTAACATAACGGAATACAATATTTTTATTGATTTTTTATGAAAATATCAAAAAATAAATAAAAATAAAAGAGAATAAAACAAAAACAAAAAAAATTAACATAAACAAAAGCACTAATTTATGTTGAAATAAATACTCTATCCGTCTTTTTAATATATTTTTATATACTTTATGGTTATACAAGTTTAAGAAATTCTTAAAAAAATTCTTACTTCTAAGTTTTATTATGTATTAGTAAGTATTTGATTTTTTTTTTTTTTTTGTCAGATCTATTGATGTAATTATATTAAAGTACGTTCGTGTCTCAAGTGTCTTTATTTTATTTTTTCGACTTCAATCTTTAATTTTCTTACGTACAATACGCTGAATTATGATTTTTTCTTTTTTTTTTTTTCTTTTTGAGTTCAAGTGTGTATTATACTATTTTCACATGTGTCGTGAAATTATGTATTATGTAGTAAAAATATATCTTATGTATTTATAAATCATAAGACAATGCTTGATTTATCCTTGTACTTTTATATTTCTAATTTGCACACACAATATGTTTTCTCAATCATTGCTAAAGTATTGCTTAAATTCTACTTAAGACGTTGAATTTAATGTTCAAATTAATTTCTTCATCATTTATACCGTCACATATAAAGTATTGCGTGTATATAAATTATATGTAACAATAATAATAATAATGTTAAATCCGATGTATTAAAAATTGCATATTTTGTGCGTATTGGAGGTAAAATTTGCAAAGTATTCACACTTTTGTGATCCATAAATGTCTATGATTAAAAGGAATTAACGAAATTATCCTTTAATGGTTCCATTCTTTAACATACACTTAATAATACTCTTGTATACATGTATCATAAATCTATTGTAAATATTTATTTTATGATTTTATAAATGATATCGCAGAAATTAAAAAAAAAAAATAAATAAAAGAAAAAAAGAAAAAAGAAAAAAGAAAAAAGAAAAAAGAAAAAAGGAATCTGGATTAATGAAAAATGTAATATCAAGGATATTAATAATCGAATGATAATTGTATCGGTTAAAATTTTTATACCAACTTATGCGTTTAATAAAATTAATATGACACATTTTTAAGGAGAGAATATATTTTGTTATTGTTGTTCTCGTTGTTGTTCTCGTTGTTGTTATTGTTGTCGTTATTGTTGTCGTTATTGTCGTTGTCGTTGTTGTCGTTGTCGTTGTTGTCGTTGTTGTTGTTGTTGTTGTTGTTGTTGTTGTTGTTAAACAGCTTCATTACCATTACGATATCTATTAAGATTTCAGATACTCTTTGCTCGAAGTATCAACAAAGCCGATAAGAGCAGCCATACTGAAACGAGAAAATAACATTTTTATTTGATGAATAGAATGAATCGTTAAGGTTGAGTAAAGGTAAATATAGCCCGTCACATACTTATCAGCATTAATTCATAACACACAATTATATGATAAAACGAATTTGTATCAGTTGTACATGAGTCACACGTGGGTGCACGAGCACACTCGGAATTAAGATCCATCGCGTTCCGATGACTGGCCGAAAGACGAAAGACAATGAAAGTACAATGAATGAGCGATAAAGATTGATAGAGAGATGATAAACCTATGCCCTTCTGTTTTTTGTGTGCGCAGATCATTATCATCTGGACAGACGGAGCTCGATGTACCGGGAGCGCGGAAAATTCTGCTGCGACACCTGTGGCAAGACCTACAAGTGGTACAGCGGACTTTACAGGCATCGTACCTACGAGTGCGGCAAGGCTCCGAGGTTCCAGTGTCCCCATTGCGACTACGTAGCCAAGCAGCGGCCCCATGTATACACGCACATCAAGTCAGCGCACAAGAACAGCGTCGTCTACGCCCTCGACCTTGAGAGGTCGTGAAGCAAGGAGCGGACCTGGCGCATTGCTCCTTGTGTAGATTCGGGGTTTCGGGTTCGTTTGCGCGAGTGAAGGTATTGCGGCTGTGGCGGCAAGTCGGGGGGCCAATCGGACCAAGACGACTCGGCGTTTTTCAGCCAACTTTCGCGTTTATTTTCTTGGGGGCGGGGGTGGAGCTTAAGCGTGCGCAAGTTTTTACTGCCTTTGATTCGAAGGCGGGTCGAGAGTTTTGAGGCGGGGATAGGATAATTTTCAAAAGTGCCTGTTGATAAGCGTTCAAGCGACAAATATGAGAGACGTAGTACGAGCGGACCATGTTTTAACGTTTAGAAATGTAAAAATCTGTAAATAAGATAAATATGCGAAAGTAAAAATTCCGAATGATGGAACGAGCTAATATTAGAAATTTATTTGTGATACCTAAGACATGGCGATTCTCGCTAACGACTTTATCATTCGGCATTTTGTCTATTTGACGCTCCGCGTTATTTGAGTTTAAGACTTTCAAGTGCAAGTATCGATTGCCAACATTAATAAAGCTTAATTATTTATATAATTACACGTTGTAATTATTAACGAATAAAATTTTATAATATATACGTTATTAAATTAATATGTTAATGTTGAATCTGTAGTTATGTGCTTTTAAGGTATTCTGTTTCACTAGAAATTTACATTTAAAAATCTAATGGTCGCGGTAAAATAAAAAAAAAAAAAAAAAAAAAAAACACACACACACACACACACACACACAGATATATATATATAGATATTGAAAACATATATTATGTCCTATTTTAAATAATGTACGAGCAGCTTTTTATATCTATTTCTACCGATCTTGAATCATGTTTTTATAATTTTTTTTTTTTTTTTTATTATTATTCTGCCTTAATAATAACAATTCGCATTTAAACGAATATTTCATCATCACATCTCAGCGTGTCTATTTTACCAAATGCGCTATCAGTATCTGAGTTGTAAGCGAATCTTTTTCGTTTATAAATTTACTTAGCCGCGTGACATGAAAGAAGACGGTGGACATGGAACATTGATTAAGCATTTTAGAAGTAATAATCATGCCGTTCACGCAATACAATAATGACGTGATAATTTTTTCTTCTTCTTCTTACATTTGATAAATAAAGGTATGAATATTTATATTCGTTTATTGTTGATCTCATAGATTATCGTTCTTAACAATAATTTGAAAAAAATAAAAGAAAAAATATAATATTTTAACGTAGGCTTTAAGACTATTTTATAACTTTATTGAAAATGTTAAAGCATAGTAAATTTTATTACGGTAATTAATACGGTATTACTTGAATACTTGATTACAACTTGAACTTTTTAGAGCTTAAATTAAACGAGTGCATCGATTGAATGTTCAAAGTCAAATATTTAAGCCAATGTATTACATACCAATGAAATATAATATTTTTGTTGAACAATGTGTAATAAAAATAATGTGTCTGCGTGTGTGTCTGTGCTTTCTCTCTCTCTCTCTATCTCTCTCTATCTCTCTCTCTATCTCTCTCTATCTATCTATCTATCTATCTATCTATCTATCTATCTATTTTCTTGCGTGTGAATCGTTTGATTTTATAAGAATACGAAATTTCTTTATTTAGTCTTTTCATTGACTTTTCTAATAAATTATCTAACATAATTCTATAAACATATTAAGTTTATCTATTTACATTAAAATTTTGTACAATATTTCCGAATGTATTCTTTCTTACAATATAAACATAACACGTTAAAAGTATAAGATGTTTTTATTTAGAAAATAAACTTTTAGTTTTAACTGTTTTTTCCTCAATTCATGGAATAAAAATGTAAAACAATATTTATGCTTATTTGTAAGTAAATTGAATGATAATGGAGAAATGATGCACGTTCTTTAATTTAACGATTGTTTGTATATGAAAATCTTATTTTTAAATATACTTAATGACATTTGTTTAAATTATATTATTGTGGAGTAAGTAATAATTGATAGAGACTTCATAATTGTACAGATAATCAATATATGATAAGCATGTAATTTTAAATAAAATTTATATATTTTTAATATAATATAAAATTTCAAACTACTATTGACTTTTGACTACATACACTCCCCTACTAATATAACCCACATCAGTTGATGACAGCTTTGAAGCAAATGTTGTTATTGCTTGGCCATTAATTCTCTCATTAATGATGCCAATCTGACAATATTAAACTAAATATGATCGTATCTGTTTCAGATGCCACTAATTCTAAGCAGATTCCCTTTTTTTTTATAGCACGTTAGTTTACATCTACGTGCTCACCGAGTCGAGTGAAATTTCTCGCCCATCTAACCAAACGAGCTAAAAGTGCTTTCAGTGTGCCATGGCCAAGCGACGAGCTCGCAATTGTCAATTCAACGTGACCGGGGGCAGCTTCCGCTCTCTCAATTGCGCCAAGACGTACAAAGGGTCTCGAGGTCTGCATAGAGAAGACCTTACGTACGACGAGTGGCTCAAGGCCCCCGATATTCCAATGTCCTTACTGCGACTGCGTGGCCAAGCACCGATCGCACGTTTACTCGCACCTTAAAATCTGCCCATCGTTATAGTACCATTTATTTACGTCCTTGATCTTGAAGAGATGAGGTATCGCTGGTGAAATTTTTAGTCATCTTTTGGAATATTTCATATACAGCCATATGGATGCTGGTCTACCATCCTTATATAATACATGAGGTAGCGTGATTTTTCTTGTAATACATGATTGATTGATAAATACAATGATTATTCTAAGGGTAAAAATACTATATGGACATGCACGATTATGCACGATAATTTTATCGCAAAATCAAGTGATTTATATTCCTATTTATGTATAAAAATATGTCTTAACAGTAGTGACATATTAAAACATTTTCGGCTCAATCTTGATTATTACTAATTTATTTAATAAGTGTTGAAAAATGGTTTCCCTAGCTTCCGAAGCACCAAATTATTATACTCGGGGGTAATTGTGTTAATGGTGAGAAATTAAAAAATTAAAAAACCATTCGATGGAAATATATTTTGTATTTGCAATTGAAGGTTACTCGTGAGGACTAACGAATGCAATTGTTATAATTGTTGATTATAGTTTCTTTTTCAGGATAAAAAAAAAAAAGAAAAGAAAGAAAATATTAAAAAATTATGATTATCCATATTAGAAAATAACATTATTTTTTTGCTATTGTGGAATTATTTAAAATGTAAGTATAATCTATCGTGATATAGAGGGGGAAGGGTCTATATAAATAAATAATACCTATGAAAGTAGAATGAATACTATAATCTGGCTTATTGAGCATAATTCGAAATATAATTCGAATCTTACGTGACTTAAACGCTAAACAATATTAAAGTTTATTCTTCTTTCTTTACAAGACGAGTCTCTGCTTGGCATCATTATCCTCTCGAATTCTGGTAACGAATTGCCCGATGACCTCAAATTATTTATTAATTTTTTTTTTTTAATATACGCACCTTTTTACAATTAATATATGATAAAGTAGTAATTGAATATTAATTTTATTACAGACACTTAAAATTCAGTTGAAAATAAATATGTAATGTATTTAATCGGAGACTGTATATATGTAGAAACATGGAGTCCCATAAAAAAAAGTTAAATGTAAATATTCTGGATAAGGCATTCGTGAATTATCTTGATTCTCAGCGATTCTGCCTTTAATTGTTTATCTTTCGAATCGTCAGATATACCAATCGAAGTGCAAGTCTTAAAACAGCAAAGATAAAAATTATAAATCATTGGGAAAATTCGAATTTTACTTAATCAATCAAAGTTTTAAAAATTATCTGGTCTATTAAGATATCTATACTCTTCGATGCTTCCGAAATAGAATAATTAAATTTTTTATCTACTTATTTATCTATATATAGTTTATTTTTACACAAATAACAATAATAATGAATGCCAAAAACCTTTTGTATATATACATACATACAAATTTTCTATATAGAATATAAATTTTTGAAACATGTAGAAAACATTGTTTATCGATTTATCGATACGAAGAATTTAATATTTGAAAAAATTGTTTCAAGAATAAGTATGAATGAAAAAGAAAATAAATAAATAAATAAATAAATAAATAAATAAATCAATAAAGCAAAATAATCTAGAAACAGCATTTATTGAAACTATAAAATAGAGATGAAACACTTTTTTCCTTTTTAATATTTAGATGATCAAAGAATATATATATATATATATTATTGTACAAAACGTTCAATACAGTTTATATTAAATATTATATACGATACTTCAAATTTATAGACCCATGTCATTATGTGCCAATAACTTTCTCGTTCACGTGCATCATAAAAAATTAGTTGCACACAGGTCTTTTTATAACAACAAAGTTGACATTCCTATTTAGATTTTACGTAGTTACGAGCTCAATTGAATGGGACAAAAGATTAGACAAAAAAAATGTATTTTACATCGTTAAATGTAAAGTGTATATAATAAATTTTACTTTCTCAGTTTGACATCGATCATAAATAGAATAAATAGAAATAATTTTGTCGTCGACGACGACTCGAGATTAATTATAATGGAGCAAGACTTTTCACATAAGCGAAATGACCCCTCATAAGCAGAATATACCAAAGTATCGAATATTACTTGAAACATAATGGAATTATGTTGAATAAATTTACCAATCATTTGCCTAATCATACGCCTCGAAGTAATCAAAATACACGTATGCGACTAAAATAATCTTAAAGAGCCCATGCACGACTTTCTTGTTATTTATGAAATATAAATAAATTGTGTAACACCGATAGGCAATTGTAGTCAATTAAAAATAATAAAAAGTATGTCCCATTTGAGATCCAAGCTCCCAACATTCCACATCAAAGTTTATTTTCCATAACGCATTATACATATATATATATATATATATATGTGTGTGTGCGTGTGCGTGTGTGTGTGTGTGCGCGCGCGCGCGCGC